TGGATGCAGGACTGCAGGGGGGGTCTCCCCAAAGCTCATCAGAGGGGGAGAATCCCTTCCCTCGAGCTGCTGCTCATGCTGAAATGGTGTTGAGCTAGCCAGGGGGCTGCCTAAAGGGCACCAGTGATGGTGGATTTACAGTGGGAAGGTCAAAATTTATCCCAGAATAAGCTGTGTAAATATCTGTCCAGGTTTAGGAGAACTGTCTTGTTTTCAGTAGATAATGACTGAACGAACAAAGGCCGAAGGGCCCCAGAGGAGGAGGAGAACATCCTCAGACCAAGGACATAAATCTTATCAGCAAGAAGTTGGCAATGAAACTGAAGTTTAAGGTATCCTGGAGAGGACTGCCTTCGTTATAATGCTAAATATCACACCCCCTTGAGGTAAGAGACCCTTCCTCATGGAACACGTGTAGTAAAATAAGCCCAATACTGTGTCTTTAAACAGAGAATATAGGAGCCAGTGATTGTAGATTACTGCTCCATCACTGTAACTGGGAGTGTGCTACCTTATAAATTTGGTGTATAAATCTAACGAAGAAGCCAGCATTGTGCTTGATTTGTGGAAAGGCACCACCGAGCAACCTGTGCAGAATAAATAATGTCTCCTCTCTAAACAGGCTTAAAGCATGTTGAGAGTTCTCTTTCAAACAGGCAACACCATTGCACTGCAAAGGATGTGGCTGTGAATTACACTGGTGGTCCCTCCAGCCACCAAAGTCGGTGGACTGGTGTTTAAGTACTGTATGCACAGAGAGCAGCCTCCCGGGTCAAGGCTGTGAGCATTATGTGTTACAAAACCCACCCAAAACCACACAGCAGAATCAAGGAGTTTATTGATTTCACACAAAAGCACAGATCGTGAGAAAGAAAAGGCTAATTTAGAGCATGACGTGCTATGAATGAGTGCTGTGAGTATTAGTAAGTGGCTGCGGAGTGCGTTTGCTGGCAGCTGTATATTCACTTAACCATCTTGGCACCAGCTTCAGCAAAAGGTAGTTAGTGCTCGTGGTTGGGCACATGGTAGCCAAGGTGGCTCCCAAAAGGGAACTGGGAAAAGAAGGCTCTGGCCATTTCATCGATCCTGTTGTAGGCTCCCAGGTTCCGGAAGTACTCCACATAGGACCAGAAATCGCTGGACGAGAAGGGCCAGTACAGCAAGGCTGCCGATTCCTGGTAGGGATCTTGGAGAACAACAAAAACCACTGCACATTAGTGAAATACAAAGCATTTATGTTGAAAGCTTGGGACTGGGAGCCAACATGGTTTGGGGTTGTGAGTTCCCTTGGGGCTTGTAGGCTCCTTGTGGGCTCCTCTGGCAGGAGAGAGGAGGGCACAGGCTTTGACCCACTCTCTGCTCTGGTTGCACCAGGAATAGCGGAGTGGGACAACATGGAGAGCAGGGATAAAGGGGCACTACCAGCATATGGGGCAATTCAAGACTTCATCGAGCTGCTTGAATTTCTAGAAGGCTGCTGGTTATTTAAAAGCAAGGAGCAATTGCAATTGAAAGCCATTTTTCCTCATTCCACACCATTTTCTCTGCCCAGTATAAAAATACATGGAATAAGGCACCATCACATACACACACACAGAGAGCAGCCACCCGCTCTGCCTGCAAGTTCCTGGCAGCGGAGCCATGGGAAGGGGCCATGCAGTTTCTCCCCTGCCATCTCAGCACAAAGGCAGGGGAGTACAGCACCAGCTGGGGGGGCAGGATCCTCCCCAGGCTCCCAGGAAGTAGGTCCATGCTGCCCTGACATTGCAGAGTTGTGCTTCTCAGCAGGCCATAGGCAACAGGGTAAGGAAACAGAGAGGAAAGGCATTGCCACTGGGAAGACAGCTGCTGCCTTTGTGCTTTCCTGCTCCAGGAAATGTGAAATACTTATTAAACAAGATTTCAAATTCAGCAGAACACAAAAGCGATTCTGAAAACGCAGGAGCTGACCACTGGTTAGCCCAAATCTGGCCAAACACAGGCACATGTAAAATGTAAACACTAGCTGAGACCACAGCTACGAATGTCTCTGTGCAGCAAAGTTAAAGCCAGTATTTTGATTCGATTTAAAGCTCATTTAAATAAGCAGGAGGCATTCCACTCACCAGGCTCAGCTTGGGACCAGGGTCTTTAGTGGGAATTAAAAGCCTTCAGCAATCTTACTGTCAGACCTTAATTTTAGGAAGTTTGCAGCATGCAGGCACAGATGGCATATAACAAATCAAATGAACCAGCCAAATACTGTCTGTAGAGGAGAATTCACTGTTTATACCAGCTGACCTTAGATTCACTTTGCAGTCAGCTGCTTGGCCCAGTGTGAAAGAAAGCCATAATTGTTGCTAATGAGAGCAACAGGATGCTGCCTGAACAAGGTTTTATTTTTAGATTGACACACACTCTTCTGACTGAGAGGTTACTGCAGAAATATTTGCTGTGCACAAATGTGGCAGCACCCTTAAACTTGTGAGAATACAGATGATGCATTCAGAAAGTTCATAGGGAGATATAATGGAGCATAGGGAACAACGTTTTGAATTCAGAGTAATCACATTAGGCCTTATTCCATATATATATTTCTACTTTCCATAACTGTTACAATTGTCTCTCTGCGAATTTGTATCTGTGCACTCGGGATGCTGCTGGCCATCCTGCTGGTAACTGAGATGAACATCAGCAACAGCAGTGCCTGGTTACTGCAGATACTTCTATGTAACTCCTTTAGCATAAAGAATTCTGCCTGAAAACACCAGAGAGAGGGTTGAACTGCCATAATTATCAGAAAGCCAGTGGAAACATCATTAGGATGCTGAGCATTTTTGTAATCAAAGGCAAACACTAATCCAAATGGACTAATCACACAAAGTGATGCGAACCATGGGGCAGCTGTGCTAGTGGATTTATTCCAACATTTCTTTAATTGGATTTGTGGCAATTTGTAGATTTTAAGGATTTTGTCGTGGAAGTCATTATTTCTTGCCAATGACCAGACACACATATAGTATTACTGGTCAGGACAGACAAAATTATCAGATGTCTAATACATTTATAAGTCCGGGGCTTTCCAGTTGTGATTTTGTACAACAGAATTAGTGAGCTGACCGTAATACCCCTGCTTGTTTTAAATCTGCAAGTATATTAGGTCTAATATTAGGCATTAATATGTCAGCTTTTCATAAGTTCTGAAGAAATTTCTAAGAACTCACTCTTCTTTCTCCACCAGAACTAGATGAAAGCACCTCCACAGCCCACTGAGGTTAGTAAAGTTCCTGCCAAAATTGCTGCTGGAGATCAGGTCTGGGAGTTACAAATGACTCTCCTAATTGTTAGTGGTACAAAGGAAGGAATAACACATTAAGAATTACCATCTCCATTCTGGATTGATCGGGCATCTGTAAATAAAGAAGAGCCTCATCAGTACCAGCTCGTGCACAGAAGGACTTGCTGTAAATAAAAGCTTTGCTGTGTAGACAGACGCTCACAGGTTCTTCAATGCACACCCAGGACCCCCTCTATAGCCAAACTTCTTTTGTTTCCTCAACAGCTGAATAAAGAATTCCCCATTTGCAGTCACTCAGTGCTGCAAAAGAAATACTCTTAACTAACAGCCAGAGCAGCTGGGATTAATACACAATCTGTATCTGATACTAAGCAGAAGATCCTGTATTAGTAACAAAATGTTTCTGTCTGCTTGAAAAAGTTAATGAGAATCAATTCAGCAGTAGTCTTACCTGTGAGCATGTTCATCAGCATACAGAAGAGAAATAAGCCCATAAGTGTCATCTTTCCTGCAAGATATTGCTTGTGTTTCCAAAAAGTAATCTGAACACCTGAGGATTACTACAAGAGATTAGTAATTATGCAAAGTCTATTATTTCTTCTTTAATTAGAAGAATATGTTCCAGAATAGATCCTAAGTATTAATTTAGGCATAACGAGATCCAATTACATTTCCATGCTGTTTCTGAACCACAACAGAGAGTATTAAAAGAACCACAGTCCTGAAGTATGTACCGGTATTTTATTATTAGGTGGCATAAATTCAAAAAGCTTCTCTGAACTGACATGAAATTAAGTGTCTTTGGAAATGTTTTATTTTGTGGTTAATTTAATTTCACTCTAGAAATTACCTCTCTCTCTCTCCTCCTTTCTTCTTCTTGCAGTAGTAACTGTCTGTAGCTCCGAGTCATCTACAAACTCCAAAAGGATTTCTATTGCTGTAAAAAAGCAGCACTGTTTAAGGGAGGGTGGGGGGAAAGGAGAGAAACGTCACCAAATTGCTACACCAATCTGATGTTGTCTCCTTCAGGTAGAGGGATTTTAACTGCTCGTATTTGTATTATATTTCGGCACCGTCCATGGGAGAGACAGTGAGCAGTTTGAGAGGAAATCAGTATCAACTTTGGCAATAATACTTTCACGTTTTGAAGACAGAGGGAGAAAATGCAGAAGCAATTTCGGTGATTATTACCTTTGCTGACCTCCTGGTTGTATGTCTTTCTGCCCCTCTAGAAAAATAGATTTTAAGAAATGTTATTTGAGTAAATTGCTAAGAGGTTATTGAGTTCCCTCTCCAGCTGAGTTACAAAACCCACAAACACTTGACACTGATAGATGTTTTTACTTGAGATCCTTAAAACCTAGATCTTAAAGCGTGCATAGGCACCAAATGCCGACTGAAATCAATTGGCTTACATTAGGCAAAGAAGTAGGTCCCCAGTGACCACAGCCATGCTGATGGTGCAGGTACTGCAGCCTTCAAAGAGGGTCGATAAGGTACATTGAAGTGCATTTTCACATTATACTGATTTCCTCAGAAGGCAGTTTGAGTTCAGGTGTGTGCAGGTTGCTGAACGGATCCAGCACTTTGAGAAGCCTGGAGGGGAGACACTGGAGAATATTCAATCAATGTGTGTATCTTGATTGATTTTCTTTCAGTACAAAACTCCTGATTGCAGCAGGGGTGGCCAGGGACTAAGGTGGAGCATCAAGTGCTCTGCAACTCATGAGGAGATGTGGGATTTCTACCCTCTGAGAAGATGTGGCATTCAGCTCATGTTTCCAAACCTGGCAACAGTTTCCAGATGGCTCCACTCTGGAAACGAACTGCCAGTGTGGAGATCACTGCTCACGTTCACGCTGCCATGATCTGATCATATGGTTGCTGATGTGATCTGCTGTCTCTCAGCTGGGAGTCTTCAGTTGCCTTTATAGTCTACAAAATTGTTTATCTATCTCAATTCTAGATACCTGCATTTCCCAGCTGTGTCCTGACATTGGTGCCTTTGCTCTACCACATCCACCAGTCTGCCACAGGAGTATCACACAGGGAAGGTCCTCGTAGTCATGCAAAATCCTGGAGCAGAGAGACCCAGGTGAGTGGCCTTGCAGGAGGCCCCAGCTTTGCTGGAGTTTATTCCTATCTACATGCTGAGTTAGACAGCCCTGCCAAGAATTAATTAAAGATGTTCTGAGCAAGGGATAAAAAGAGGGCTTTGTAGCGCACCAAGCTGTGCCAACTCTTGCGGCAGCTGAAAAGAAAAATATTATGACAGCAGAACTGATTCCATCTTTGTTCAAATCCAGGTTGGACACAGGCACTTGGAGCAACCTGGTCTAGTAGAAGATGGTCTAGTGGCAGGGGGTGGGAACTGAATGAGCTTTAAGGTCCCTTCCAAACCAAACCATTCTGTGATTCTATGAAAGGCTTTAATACTCCTATTTAATATTTCCTAGGCCTGCAGGAGGGGTCCTTACATCAGCCACCTCTGCCCCATTTGCCTGGGTTATGGCACTTGCTTGGTGGAGCCCTGTGGTGCAGCCATTCAAAGCCAAACTGCACTTCCCCTTTCACTGCCCAATCAGTATATCCTGTTCAAGTAAAGTATGAGAAGCACTGACACATGCTAACACACACACACAGGTCATTAGCTGTAACTAAATAGATAGCATAAAGCTACTTCTCTGCACATCCATCATTAGCTTTTTGTTTTGGCAGTAGGTCAAGGAAATTTCTAAGTGGGAGGTGAGACAACACATTTTGGGTCACAACAAAGGAGAATAGTAACATTCCTGACAGAGCCACATCCTGCAGCTCTCCCCTCAGGGAATTAACAGTGCTGCGGGATGATGATAAAGTCACAGAGGTTATCAGGTTCAAGGGCACTCGGGTGTTCTGCTGCAACACTGGATGGTCTTAGGAGGATTCCTGTAACTACTGAGGATCACACTGACATACACCTTTACACCTACCTCCTTTATGGTTTCTTATTCTGTCTTCTGAAGCTTGGAGTTACCACCTTCCAGAGCTAGCAGGATCACAGATCTGACATTGTGTGACTGTCTTTTAACTACTACAGGCTTTTCATTTAACTCATATCTAAGTCTTTCATTTGATAGTGCACTGATTTGAGATGGAAATATATTCTCAGAGTTCCCATGCTAAAGGAGGTCTAGGAAATTACAGAAAGAGGATGAGAATTAGCACTTGAAACAGTTGCATCAGGAGATACAGCCAAGAGATACAGTTGTTTTAAATGCTAATTTTAATCCCTTTTCTATCAAGGCTCCTGTTGCTGTACATGACTACTTCTCCTCTAGGTCTCTTTGTTTTAAATCCAGCATTGAACTAGAGAAGAACTGGTGAGTTCTCATCAGTTGCTTGAAGGACTATGCATGGTGGGCTCAGTGTGCCAAACAGAGCACTGCATCTTCTGGGACCAACCAGAAAGCACACTATGTACTTGGCAGCATTTGTATTATACTGCAAGCATGTTCATGCTATCTCCTCCTTTCTTTTTGCTCTAAGACTCTTTTCCTTTTCTCAGAGGGCAGTTGAAGTAACAGCAGTGGATGCCCAGCACAAGTGCTGGTATGGATCAATTAACAGAGCCCTCCACTAATAGTTGCTGCCCTGTAGGCTTCTTCACTACTGAGCAGTAGTTGGAGATGCCATGGTGCCCACAAATGCATACCTGGCACAGCAGCAACCACCTTTCAGTAGATACTATAGCAGTTAACAGGGCAGCTGCTGAAAGAGTCTGATGTTTTAATTTCTACTCATTTTTGAGAGAAACTCAATGTTTTACTCTCTTCAGAAAGGCTCAAAGTTCAAAACACTTATTTTTCCTGGCAGCAAGTTCTTCAGACACCTCATTCTAACATTTGCATGAAGTTTTTTAGATAAGGCATAAAACCTTTGCTACATTATAGAAGGGGTTGATGGTAATGAGCTTATCCCACCCAGCGTGGCTCAGGAGGATCCAGTGAATACACACTTTTTGTAGATGGCTCTCAAAGCCAGAAAAATCCCACATACATCAGTCAGAGACGGAAATCAATCAGAGCATAGAGGACATTCCCTTGGGAACAGGGGAATGCAGTTCGGGCAGCGCAGTTGTTTGTGGGACTTGCTCCCTGATGGGGAACAGCCTTGGAGCTGCCAGCCCTGAGAGCCTGCCTTCAGGTGGGCCCATTGGTAATGGGTTGCTTTACACAGAGCCAGACCCTGTGGAGCAATTCAGCACTCCTTGTTCTTTAACTAGAGACAAAGATAAAGGGATATGAAAAAGCAACTTTAGGGATGCCTTTGTTTTCTCAATAGCTACATTAGACTGGTATTACATGTGAAAAAAATTCTATAATCCTCCAGGCACTGAAAAAAAGCCCCTGGACGTTGTTTTAAAGAAGCAGAATATTTCCTATTTAATCAATAGGCAAAAGCACATGCATACAGAGCTCTGTAAGAACTTACTAAAAAGCTAAATGGCACTTACAGCTGCATCTGAAGTGCTTTGCCCTTGGGTTGAGCAGGCAAAACATTCTCTGTAGGGCCACAACACCCCTGCACATCAGAGAAAACAAAACCCAGCAGTGATATAGATAGACCATCCCTGGGAAGCATAAATATTTGATTATTTCCTCTAGCAATTTGGTCCAAGTAATACAGATCAAAAGGAGATTCCTGTGACTGGAGTATGCTTTGCTCAGACAGGTGTGAATTGCCCTAGATCTTTCTGACATTCACAGCTTCATTTTCTTTCCTTTGAGCTCTGCTTCTCTTTTTATGTATACAGAAGCTCTAAAATCTTCTGATGATGCTGGGTTACCCAGGATAGTAAAGCCAAGGGCAGAGGAGGAATCAGGTGAGGACCTCACAGTACCAAGCAGCTGAATAACAAAACGTCCAGTAAAAGTAAATGTAAAGTGAGGTATCTGGATAAATATTCCCAACTTGAAAGGCCCATGATATCTGACCATTTCCACTCAGAAGCTAGATTTGGAGCTACAACAGATAGTTCTGGTAAAATGTTGCTCAATGCTCAGACAAAAGGGAAAATTGGATAGTATGAGAGGAAAAAGCCCACAAGGCATGGTTATGCCATCATGCTACATTTGCTCCCATTTTGAAGACATCATGCATTTTTTGTTTCATCATCACAGAGAGACAAGTTAGAACAAGTAAAGACACAAAGCAGGTGAGAGGGGCTCACAGTCAAGGGCTGGCTATAGCAGGCTGGGACTCTACCAGCCAGCAAAGGGATGAGAAATATCTTGTTCAAAACAAAGGGCTGTGGGTTTTGGTACAGTTAAGCTGTGGCATGTTTTGTCATAATGTATTACCAACTACTCAGCGTCCTGGCTGAGGGTGTCTGAGCCTGGCCTGGGAGCAGGGCATGACCAAGAGCACTGCACTTTGCTCTTTGTTTTCTTGTCCTCAGCCATCCCTCGCTGCTGGGCCAGGTGAGCTCCCAGGCTGACCCTGTGCTTCTTACAATTTGTTT